GTCCTTCTTTTGTCTTTGATCTTTTTAAATCATTATTATTTGTCTAGTTGTCTAGCCGATTGTGCGGCTATTTATTGTTCTAGTTTCCATGTAATGTTAGGTTGCCTGGAAGAAATCGCTTGCTAGCAATGAGTTTGTCGTTTGTACTTAGTTATGTAAAATATGTATTCATGTATGTGGGTACTTCTTGGAAAAGCAATTTTTGAGTGTCACAGGGACATATCTCCTATAAAAATAAATTATTATGATAAAAACTACTATTACATCGTTTCTTCATTTCATTAAGCATAGTGTCATATAGATTTCACGGATAAAAAACGACGTAGATCGGAGTAATTTACCCTCAACACCACAAATCCGGTCAATTTTGCACGTTTTTACCGTGTCACACGCGCGCCGACTTTTGAGCAATCGCAAATATTTTTGAAATTACCCACGTTTTTAATCAGTTTGTTACACACATTTAAAAAAGACAAATCGGTTTACATATTGATCAAATTTCAAATTAATCGGAAGGAAACTTTTGATTTTATGGTCAGAAGTATATGTGTCACACGCTTAGCAAAATTTTCGCCGCGCGCCTTGCGCGAGATACTGTTCTGAGCTGGCGAGGCGTAGGCGAACCCCGATTGGTGTTTGCGAATCGTCATTTATGCCGCAGCTAGCAGGTGAGGTGGCCACGTCGCTGTTTCCCGCGCTTTCGTTGCTAAAATAAGTTCTTCAATTTCTTAAATTTTGGTTCTCAGTTATCCGGCTTTGCCATGTCACATTTTTTCAATATAATTGTACTTCTTCTAGAAAATGGGTTTTAAGGTGAAATATCTAGCTCTATAATGTAGATAAACAGTAATAAACTAGCCGGTTATATCTTTTCACTGCAGAGTAATTTCAAAATATATGATTTTTGGTAATTTCCATGGTGTAATTTCCATGGATAAAACACCATGGAAATTACGTATCACCCATGGAAATTACTTTGTTTCATTTTGGTTGCAAAAAAACAAACGTTATGTTCAATGTTTGTTTTCAATGAAATGCACGCCATCGCCAAATACAGACTTAAATGTTGAATGTTGGTTATTTTTTTAATTAAATCGTCTTAAATATCATTTAAAACTTTGATCATCATCTTCAAATTCTCAAATCGTGATTAAACAAATTCAAGTTTAAAACATCTGTCTTTCGCTGTCGTCTGTTTGAAGTTAACAGGGTCACAAGGACATTTTTTACACCGGATTAAGTTAACATATTATATAAATTATTTATTTATTGTAAAAATTTACTTTGATTAAACACTAAATTGGTACCTGTAGGGCCAATGGTTTTCTCAAAAACGATAGATAGCTAAAGGGGTTATCTTGACTGAAATAACCTCCTAATATCTACTTATGACCGGTGTTCGTTATCTATCGTTTTTGAGAAAACCACTGGCCCTACAGGTACCAATTTGGTGTTAAATGAAAGCCAATTAAATTTACAATAAATTAATTACTGATATTTGACGTAGGATGCGTTTTTTATAAGATAATTGACAAAATAAATAACCATTTCGAAAAAGGGTTCTCTATGTCACTTCGAAACACGTTTCTTCGATAATTGATACATCGACAACTATACGTGAACGTCGAAGCGTTCATTGTTCGAAGTTTCAATACATCGAATATCTTACTTCGACGCCCGACTTTTGTTTGTCCGATGTAACGTTACTTCGAAAAATTTACCAGATGCTGAAATTTCAATGTTGGTCTCATAGTGAAAGTTGTTCAGTTTCATGGGCTGAGCTACCACCTGAGAGGTTTTGCGCTATTTCCATAACACGTTGTATATATTTTGTTTTTTGAGAACATGAACGTGTTTAGGTTTCGTTCCAACTTTGAGAAAATACTATCGTATATCGTTTCAGTATAATGTAGGTAGATCTTAATACTACCCTAACTAATATGACAGCTTAATTTCATATACGACATGGTGTTTAGCAAAATTTTATCTGCTGTGTAATTTCCATTGCCTTATATGTAATTTCCATGGTCCGCCAATTTTCTACATTTTTTTTTAGCAAAAGTATAGATCTCAGTCGTGGCCAATTTTAATATGTTGTTTAAATTTGCAGAAGTTTTCGAAATATTTATATAATTCACCATAATTTTGCGATTTCAAAAATGCCCTGGAAATTACACGGAGAACACATTTCCCAAGAATCACCCATGTCCTTGTTGTGCACTATTTTACTTATTTATTTCACTGCAATTTAAACGGAATGCGCTAACCCACTACGCTATCGGACCTCTTATACCTAAGATATACTAATATTATAAAGAGGAAAGATTTGGTTGTTCGTTTGTTTGCATCAAATTTGCCCCAAAACTACTGGACCGATAGTTTCAGAGCGATTCCGACCTACGGGAAGCTAAATCACGGATGTCATAGGCTATAATTTTGCGGCAAAGTCACGGGAAAACAGCTAGTTCATTAAACCTTGTGAAAACTTATCTGCGGTATGCCTGTGGAGTATGAAGGCAAAACGGGTTGGCGATAACAGAAACTTCTTTCTCGAGCTATATTGTGCAAACTGCGAGCTCTTTCATATATGTAATATTACATGAGCCTCATGACCGGCGAAAAAACCTGTATCTCCAGATAAGACTGAAAATACCAACGTTAAAGTAAAGCGATTTGAATGTATAATAATAAAAATATATAGAGAAACAAAACAATTAAGATGAAAAAATTTATATAACTTGAGTTGTCTTCACTCATTCGAGAACGGTGTAAACCCAGTTTAGATTCATGGTGAACCAAAGTTTCTGTAGGGCGTAACCAGGCCTAAAAACTTCCTACATCTCGCTGCAGGATCTTCTTAAGAATTTCATCTTTTTAGCAGTTTTGCAGGTTTGACCTTTTTTCAAGGCTTTATTACAATTAATGTACCTTTTTTGGGAAAGAATCTTCTGAGACGTGAATTTAACTTTTTTTAACATTGAGGAAATGCTTTTGGCTTTGGGTACAGACCCAGCAAGCAACAGGACTCTTCTCCGTGAACCCACCAAACTGCATCCGAGTCACCAGGACACTCAAGTATTGGACCATTGGTCCCATCGCAGGAGAGGCTTGGATCCATCGAGAGCCTCTCCTAGACAGGTAAGGCAAAGCAATGCAAAGGTGGCTGCTTATGTTCTGTGCTGCTAACCATCTGAACTAGCCTCGAAGACGTAAACCTAACCTGATAAGAATTTACTATCGAATACGTGCGTTCACTGAAAACTACTCGATGCGTAATTGTAGCAGCGCAACGCTCTTTTCGTTTGATCTCCTACTCGCGTGATCGTATACTACATGTCCATTTTAAGCTTCAGCTTATAATATCTATATATAATCAATCATATTTAATAGAGTTCACTCTATTTAATATGATTGGTCATATATAATTGAAATCAACTTACATTGCAGTATCCAAAATATTTAAAAGTTATTTTCTTATTTATATTTATATAAATTATATATTTATGAACCGATTGAAATACTTATCCAATACAATAGTGAAAACTGCATTAAAAACGGTTCAGCCGTTTCAGAGATTAGCGTCCACAAACGCACAGACAAACAGACAAACCGACAAACAGGCAGACTGACAAACAGACAAAAAAATTAAAAATCGTTTTGTGTTCTGTTACGTTTTTATTATAGTACTAGCTGACCCGACAGACTTCGTCCTGTCAAAAAGATTTGTAATGTGGCAGTTTTTTTGCCTACGTATTTAAAAAAATTCTCCTGAACAGAACCGTCACCCTGGTGATAGGGCGTTGTGAATAAAAAATAATTAAATAAAACATATATAAGGATTTAAAAGTAAGTAATCACTTTATTGTTAATCATGTGAATCATAATTATTATTGCAATGTATTAATAGTAATAGTATTAAATATAGAAAAAGAGATTTTTATGATCATAAAAACACATTACACACAACAGCATTATAAAAGTAAACTATTCGAATTAAAAAAATATATAAACATTCTCAAGGAAAAATGCTGGAAGAATCCATCTACCTGTACCCCGGAATGGGACTCGAACCCATTCGCGATCCAGGGACTGCTCTAACCAATGAGCTATCTAGGACCCAACAGCTTTGCTACTACAGAGCATATTTTCATCAATGTTCCGGCAATACATGTAATGACGTGGAAACTGATGCATTTTATCTCGCGTGCCGAAACTAATACAAAAGAAACGCGAGTTTCGGAACGCGACATTAAACTCCTCCAACTATGTATTCTGTGCTCCAACGCACACATGCACATTGTTTTGTGATAGATATGATCTTTGACGTTGGGAACACACCTACATTGCTTAGACAACAGTGAGTGCTTGTAATTTAATATGAACTTTATACCATAGCAATAAAGCTCAAATTGACTACGTTTTAGTTACAAATCATTTGTATGGGAAAAAGAAAAGGGCTATTTTTAGGGTTTTTCCAGCAATAATTCTAATTTTTCTTTCGCCGTAAAAACCATCCTTGAACTTCAACGAACATTTTAAAAAAAGATTTGGCCAAATTGGTCGAGGCGTTGTTGAGTTATGCGCTTACCAACACATTTTGCGATTCATTTTTATATATATATAGATATAGATAAACTCATTGTATAATATTATCTGCCTTGTACAATATTGTAAAATGTTATCTAATATTGTGTTATATTATCTATATAGGTACTTCGTTCTTTGTCACTAACAGTATGTCTATACACTCATCGCGCCCATTTCACTGAGCCTAAACACGATATATTTACTGTGAGCTGACGAGGAGTTGGGTACTCTGCAGACTATCCTGGTTGCAGCATCAGATCATATTATTATCATGTAATATAATTTGCTATATTCTTCAAGTTTTAACTCTATCAGTGTAGTAGAAATGAATGATTTTAATGAATGATTACCGTTACAATAGCTTTTCATAAAACATAGCTAAAAACACTCTCTTAAAAGTTTAAGTCACCTTTCTATAAAAAAAAATATATCCAAATCGGTTCGCCCGTTTAGGAGCTATGATACTATATATTTAAGCACACGTCAAACTTACACCCCTTTTTACGTCTGTGGTTAAAAATAATTTACATTTTGAGAATGACTTAAGAACGACTATGACAGATTGGTTAACATATCTTAACACAGAAAGACAAGAACAATTTAAAAAAAAATATTGTAACATTTCTATAGCCTCACCGTTCGTCTACAAATTGATTCACATTATCCCACACAGGCACACACACACACACGCACACACACAAACACACACGCGCACACACACACACACACACACACACACACACACACGCACACGCACACACACACACACACACACACACACACACGCACACGCACACACACACACACACACACACACACACACACACACACACACACACACACACACACGCACACGCACACACATACAATCAAGACGTGTGATGTGGTTATCCTTTTTTTACAGCCTATTTCACTTTATTGATTTTATATCTTTTTCGTTATATTTTTTGTTACAAAACATTATGATCTTTGAAATCTGTTCTCACAGATTGAAAATAAAATCAAAGAAAGTAGATTAATACAGATAATTCATTTCATATTTTCTTGTTACTTATTTCTTATCCAAATGGGTAACATAATTTCCTGTCCTGAAAATGAAGCAATTAGTAATAAATGAAGCTCAATTAGCTATAATTGGAATCATGTAATCTTGTTTCCGATTGGATTAATGAAGAACGAGATTTTTTTCTGTGTCCATAACGTTGGTTATATAGTATATAATAAGTATATTAGTGGTTTCAAAAAGTTGAACAGACTCGAAAATAATATTATTATAATCAATGCTACAGCTTAAATCATTCTTTCATAAACATTTTTTATCGAATTCTTCATAAAATTAAAACCAATTATTACAAGAAATTATCAATTATTATAAGAAACTACTGAGTATATCTACGAATATGTTCAGATCAAGCATACATCTTACATTTTATTATTATAACCCGGATTCCGAAAATTTGAATGTGTGTATTATCATTAAGTATAAAGAAAATTGCAAAAAAAAACCCAATAATTATTAACATACAAAAGAAAAACGGGGAGGTGTTTAGAATAACACTATCGAACAAATTCGAATCGAGTAATTCCAAAGTGATACAGTTTTAATTTTTGAAGTAATTAAGATTTAATTTATAAGTATTTATGTAAACACTATAGAGTTCAATTATTTTTCAAGGAGGTGGTTAGTTAATTGATAAATCTTGGGAACAAGTATTGTATAAATCTTTAATCGTACTTGTTATTTATGATATACAAACCGTTCTTGAGAAACGGAATTCATATAAATGTCAGCGGGTATTCAAAAGGGGCTATTACGAAGCCCAAACAGATCGTCCATATCGGAGGACTATCTTTAAAATAACACTGCAAGCGTGTATACCAACGTGGATTTGTTCCATTTGATCACTTTCACACGAAAATATAACGAGATGAGCGTGATGTCGTCGGATGTCTTTACTCGTCGGCGATCAGAAACAGAATGTCTACCAAAATGGCGGCAACTTGCCTTTTATTAAAGAACTGTCAAAGTCAGTCAGTGTCACCGTTCTAATAAAATTAAAAGTATCGATGATCACGCTCTCTCTACAATCGAGTAATAAAGTAATCGAGTAACTAGCAATTAAAATAAAAGAAACTCAATCAAATGATCTTCGTAAACATGATATTTTTAAGAATTTTAGTTCTTTGATTAAATTGTGTGAAATGAATTTAAAATGAAATGAAAAAATCTTTATTCGAGTACGCTTGTTTCAAGCACTTTTGAAGCGTTCAAAAATTTTTTGTAAATTATATATAGCGTGGACAGCTCTCTTTTGTAGAATAGAAATATCTTGGATGCTAGCAGCAGAACCCCACAACAATAAATCATACGTCATTTCAGTATGAAAATAACTAAAATAGACCAATTTTGCTGTTTCAACATTAGTAAAAAGTCTAATTTTCTTAACGTCAAAAGCTGCAGGACTCAGTCTACTTGACAAGTTATCAATATGAGGATCCCATTGCAGTAGGGAATCGAGTGTAAAACCATGAAACTCTGTCGATTCTACCAACTCAACTTGTTACTATTTACATTTATATGTGTACTCACGTTAAGAAATGCTTACTTCATGCATTTTGTTTGTACGCCCATAGTAATGGGTGCCCCTGCAGATTTTGCTTCATTAATTACTACTTTCGAATTCTAGGAGAAGGATATGATTTTATAAGATTAAGTGAATTTTCGTCACACCATAATGCTCTAATTTCCCCAACAGTGTATCATAACTAACGCAGTTGAATGCTTTTGACAGATCGCAAAAAATGCAAATAGCATCTTGATAGTTTCAGTAATACTCTACAGTGGCAATTGTATAGTTTTCATAATCTTTTTAAAAACGCCTATTCTTATTATATTTTTTCCCACATAATAATATTTCTCTCGATAAGTCAATGGACCATTTCCAACAGTATTGTTAGGACTTATTAAAGACGAAAGAAATAACAAAACCCTCCGTTTGACGTTTGACGAATTACAATTAATAAAATGTCAAAGAACTCTCTAATATGCTATGAAGAAAGGCGGAATCATTCATGATAAATTGAGGAAAACGAATTTGATGGAACTGAAACAATGGATCTAACAAACAAACCAATGAATATACTAGTGACCGATATTAAAAAAAAACAATATACAACAGCTTATATAAAGATTGGCTTTGTAAAATGTATAAATAAAATGGATACGATTTAATATTTTACAATATTAATTCTAAAAAAATATTTGGTAAACTTAACATCTATTCGGGGCATTTGTTTTTGTGATAAAAACTAGTTTGTTTTTAGTGTTCAGCACATTAATAGAAAAGAAGGAACCTTTATAGGATAACGTGCTATATATCTTACTGTCCGTCCGTCTGTCACAAATAATTTTCTCCAATATTACTGAACCGATTGAATCGAAAATTGGTACTCGAAAACAATGTTAATAATTTAATTTCAAACATGAAGGCTTTGTGCTCTCTGAGACTTGCTTATTTTAGGTTCTTAAAATATGATTTTGTGTGGAATCATCTGTGTGTGATTCCAATTCACTCTAGGTCGGATTTTCAGCTTAGTTCACATTGTTGATTATGGACTAGCTTTGATCAGGTGAAAAACTTTCTTGAGAGGCAGAACATCGAAGACTGTATCTATATCGAAGAATCATTTTAGGCTGAAAAACAAAAAAGAAAAGTATATAATAAGAGTGTAGTATTTTTTGTGTTATACTTATTATTTATTTTTCAATCATAAATTTTATTAGGCCTCTTTAGGATCACATTTATCATACAATAAAGAATAATTAAAGTCGGTCCACTACTGGTATAGACATCATTAAACTTTTAAAATTATAAAGGTATAATACAATAATACACTGTTGTTATTTTATAAAATGAATAATCCGTTACGCACCTAGCGTTTAGAATACAAAACGGTGGAGCATCAAACAGTTACTTTAATCCGTTTAGTGGTTTTCCGAGGAAAGCAACGGGGATTATAGAGAGCTCAGAGTTTGGACTTTCTTGGATTAGTGAGATAATAAAATGTTCAGATATACAGTGTTTAACAACAAATAATAAACAAACAATAAACAAATTAATATAATACATATTTTTTCCTAAATTTATAAGATGACATGAAAGATTATTTTTGACCCGTTTAGTTATATCATCATCACCAGCCTATTGTTGACCCCACTACTGGAGCTTAGGCCTTCCTTATGAGTGGAATAGAGTGGGGGGAATGAGTATGATCAACCACGCGGGCCAATTACGGATTGGATGCAGTTGGGACCAACGGCTTAATGTGCCTTAATCCATAACTAAGGCAGCAAATATGCAATTCATACCCTACTCAAACACTGCATACCCTACTCATAAAATTCAACTAAACCTTACCATTAGACTAAGTTGCTAGAACTTAGTCTAATGGTGGAGGTGGGTGGCGCAATGAAAAAAACTGGTAGAACTCCTCAGTCCGGATTTATTTTCAATTAGTATTACATTAGCACACTTACAACCAATAACTATTATACTCACTCTAAGCTGGTCTTGATCAGAAAGAGAGACTATTTACCAGCAAATCACGAACACTCGAATTCGAATTAAAAAAAAATAATTTAAAATATTAACGGCCAGCACTTGACCATAAATCGTCCGAAGAGTAAACCCTACCTATAGTAAAGTGCACGGACATTACAGTACATTCTTAAATTCTTTCTTAACTATATAATTTCATTCATACGTTAACTGGATACGAGTGTTCACAGAGATTAACTCAAAAATTATTTCACATAAACCTATCAAATTTTTGCTCCAACATTTTTATATTGTTTTTTTTTTTTGTTGGACATTTTTGTCCTAACAACTTAAAATGTCCTTTCTTCTTACATATGAAAAACAATATTTTTGAAGTCTAAGATCTGACTTGAATAGTTTTTAGCTAAACGCGCGGCAGCGCGTCAAGCCTAATATAGAACTGGTGAGTAACATCCTGTCAAAAACATCAAAAATTTAAATGTAAAATGAGAGCCAAGATCAAAAGAAATGAGATTTTAAGTCGTTATAAAAAACTTTATGTTGTTAGAAATAAATTTCAGGAGGACTGACCATTGTACTTTGCACCCATTTAGATTTCACTTCTTTTACTGTTGAAGTCAACCACACCCATGGCATCTTACATAATATTGAACTTGACTCTCATTTTACATTTATGTTTTTAATGTGATACTACTATTACTAATTAGCATGACACTTAAAGCCTTCTTTATCACCCAAAACAAAATCTTTGAAGTTATGTTAATATGACTATAAAGAAACGCATTTCATATTGCAAAAAAGGTAGGTCCTGATACTTCTTGTGATGCATAGATAGCCTTCATGGATATAAATTTACCAAATTATAAAAAAAAATCCAAAATTTTATTTAAGTAGAAAAATAGGACCTCAATTTTCAAACTGAAAATTCTACGAAAATAGCTAATCTAAAAAGAAATGTATTTGTATATTCTTAATCCAACTTTAGAACATTGAAAAGATCTATGAAAAAAAAAATTAACAAAACATTTTAAATCTGCGCATTAGAAAACAAGTAAGTTACGTGAATATGACTATTCAGGTTACACTGCTTTCTAATGAAAGACCTCTTAATCACTGCTATAAAAACCAATCCCAGTTCTCGACGAAAACCATTCAGTGCAAGAAACCTAACTAATGCATGATTGTGAATTATTGCAGCAGAGAAGAACTCTTCTCTTGCGGTGCTATAATGGATGTTGAACGAGCGAGCGCAGCGGATACATATAGCTTAATAAAATGGCGAAAATGCATCATTTAGATGACTTAAAATTTTCCAACAATAAGTTAATAATATGTCTATTCATGACAACTATCGATTGGAATAAAGAGATTTAAAAAATGTGTTTAAAGAAAACCTCGCACTGATTTTAAGGCGTCCCTACCTCTCTCGCCCCGGGTTCGGTCGGGTCAGTGTAGCAAGTGGACGTTTATAGGTATATTATCACTGGTCTAAGTGTTGTCCGGTTTCTATAATACAAGTGCTTTAG